TTTACATGTAAGCTATACCTTTGTACATTTACATGTGATATAGTCTATTCCAGTTACATTTATTGTTAATAGTAGCCCAATTCACAGCACAGAAGTTTCCATTGCCCAATGCACATACTGTGCTTTGCACTGCAGAGGCAAAAATGCAACATATGCATGAACTAGTCTGTTGAGGTATGTGGGCAGAGGTATGAAAGTTGAGCACACAGTATCATGCGTCACAACTCATGTACAGGCATAAAGGGGTCATAGAAGATATATCTATGTGACTGTGTGAATTCTTTTGCTACAAATTTCTAAATGCCTTATCTCTGCATCAGTATCTACATGCAATATGAGTTGCTTCCTGGTTGATTTATAGTAACTAATTGTATGCTAGTACCTTTTACTACCTACTACCTGCTACTATATATATGGAATGGATATTCTGCCTTGTATCTCTCTCGCTATTAAAAACACATAATGGAGAGAAAACAAACAAGTTGTTAAATTAGAAACTATATTACACCACATTTTTGACAAAAGAAAAAAAAATAATATTACAAAACACTTTTTTTTTCAGTGATTCTGTTTTTATTCTTTATTTAAAGTGACAAATTATATTAAAATACAAACAATCATATTCCTTAATACACAAAAATGCCCATTTATCCAAATATACAATAGATTTCAAATGTATACAATATGATTGTCCATTAATGCATCATTATTACATAATAATGCAAAAATAAGACAAAATAAAAGAAAAATCTAATTAAGTTATATATCCAGTGATTCTGCTCAGTTCAATACATGTATACAATATGATTGTCCATTAATGCATCATTATTACATAATAATGCAAAAATAAGACAAAATAAAAGAAAAAGTAAACTAAGTTATATATCCAGTGATTCTGCTCAGTTCAATACATCAGAATCCTTTACAGATTAACTACTATATTCAATTATGTTTTGTATTATAGGATATATGTTGTGGGGGGGAATGCAGCCCCCTCCAAAAAAAGTTTTTTCCTTTTTTTCAATAAGGGACCTAAGAGAAATAAGGGATGGGAGGAGAGAAAAAAAAAACAAGAAAAAAGAGACAAAAAAGAAAAAAAAAAAATGGAAAAGAAGAGAAAAAAAAAGAAAAAACCTTTAATACACTGTTGTATACCAGTGTATTTGCTTCCACTACATCTACAAATTTGTAAGAAACATCTGATATCTCGCAGTCAACATAAAGTGGACCCACAGTATCCAAGTTTTTTAAAAAGCGAGCTTCCTATCTCCTCAACAAAGCTGTACGTTCCTCCATGTCCATTATATCATTTACTGTTCCAATGTAATGGTGCACAGTGGGGGCAAAAAGGGATTTCCAAAGTGCTAGTATACAGGCACTTGCTAGAAAATGTCAATATTTTTGCTTGGAAAGAGGGCTAAGGTGTAGCAAACAGGCTGCCGGATCATGGACAAGGGAAAGGACCGTAAGATCTTCAATCAAAGCACATACATCCTGACAGTAAGGTCAAATTTGAGGGCAAGTCCAAAAAATATGATAGAACATTCTCCTGTCTTCCCCACATCACTAGCAGGTGGGGTTGATAGTAGTAACACTATGTACAGTCTCTCTATACAATCTAGTCAGGAGCTCATAACCTGATTCCTGCAGTTTCAAAGAAATAGAATATTTGTGTATGAAGTAAAAAATAAAATCTGTTTGGTCTGTGGATAATGTCATACTTAGATATCTTCCTGTGCTGTAACAAAAAAATGGAAAAAAAGAGTCCATAGGAGCAACCAATATAGAGTAAGCTCTAGACAAGCCCCTTTGTATAGGTCAACCAGCAATACAGAGGAACCTAAAGATTGTAGGTAAGAAAACACTTTATAAGAGATTTATAAAGAACATTTCACAGTGCCTAAGTCAAAACATAACATAGAGGTGTAATATTTATCTAAAAATAGCTGATTATTAAAGTGTATATATAGCCTAAACTGTTTTTTTTGTTTTTTTTTGTTTAAATTTGTGAACGGTAAAAAGCCCTACCAGTTTACCTTTTTTGCTATTTCTTGGTTGGGAGAGTGCCCTTCACTTGAGTGAGAGAAATTCCCTTCTTAGACAGTTGTTCTTTAAATTTACCATATCCTCCTGTTCTGGGGCCAATAGTAAAACGTAGTGTAATGATTGTGCGCATTGGGCACATGTAATGCTGTGTGCAGCAGCCATGTTGTTCGTATCCCAGGTCACCCATGCCATTTTGTCATAAGAAGAGACATAGCTGCAGTAACCTTCTTCCTCCCTCCTCCTTCAGTTCATACAATGCACAAACTGTTTGCTGATGACAGAACCTTATAATAGGATACTTGAGAGGACATATGCAGACTATCACACCTATTAGCCTGATCCACTCTTCAGTCTAGAAGCCCTTTTAAAACCATCAAATTTGCAAGCTTGAGCAACCCAGCAAACAAACAAATACCTGCCAGATCTCCCCTCATCATAAATACCTCAGCTTTAGTCTCTAGCAATAACAGTACAGCCACAATAAGGACATATTTACCTCCAAAAACCCCTATCTTAGATGAATTAGGAGCCAACGAAACACATTATCCCTCCTAGGAAAAGTAGACATCCGAAACCTGTCATATTGATATCCATTCTGAAGGTAATTCAATGCTGGACTATAATATGCAAGTTTGATGATTTTAATATGTAGGTGATTTTACATATGTAGGTAAAATGTAAGATGATTTAATACCTATAGAAAACTTCATCTGGGACATGATCATAACCACAGGGACATCCCAGCAGCCACACCTTAGACCAAATGTTTGGGCAAGTAATTCCTGTCAACATCCCTTCAAGGTACAGAAAAAGGGGACTGCAATCACAGTTGACAGCTCTCATTTAACATAATACCAAGAAACACCTGTCAAGTATTGGAGCCAATATATCACTTTGCTCATTGATTGTACTTTGCTGAAACCAGGAAATTATTAAGTATTCTCACCCTCAACTCATTTTTATTTCTCTATTGGTAAATCTCTGGGTATACCTGTCTGTGGTGACAGTATGTGTACAGACGTTTATTCAGATTCATAGTTGTCACTGTTGTTGTGAAGAGTTGATAAGCCCAAAGCTATCTAGTTGCAGCTTGGGATATTAGCACCTAGATTGGGGTCCAGCAAGTGCGAAAATCTTTGTGCAGGGTGAGGCTGAGAGTGTCATTGTTGTGTATCAGTGACAGCGCAGTGTGAGGCTGACCAGTCGTTTGTCACCAATTGGTAAAAAGGGCTGTGGTCTGACCCATTTTTGTCACACTCGGGATTTCCCATAATTTTCTGTTTTGGCATCAATGGTCACTAAGACAAATATTGAAGGTAACTCTACCCAGTGGTGACACTGCCAACAATAAAAATGTTACAGATGTAATAATTCATCTTCTCTCTATATTTCCTATGCTTACTAAGTAATACAGAAATAGCAACTACTCCAATTAATTTATTACTAGCTTTTACGGTGCCCATGGACAAGATGTTTCACAGAACAAAACAAAACAAAAAAATTTCCAGCACACTTACCAGCTAGTCAGCAGAAAAAACGAATTATACATTTTTTCTATATTTTATGTTAAAATGGTATGCATATAATTTCATATATATGTTGAATCCATGCTGCCTAATCAAGGTCCTTTTGTGAATTGTGATCTCTAACTAACCTAGCAGTACTAATATCTTGGGACACTGAGGGCAGGTTTGCCTGGAAGTAGCCTATTCCTTCTTAAAGGTACAGAGATACACCAGAAGTCCAGCATAACACAATGACAGCTGAAGATCTCCAGTATATCTCTGCAAAAAATCCAGCAAAAAAAAAAATTGCTACCACCCCTATAAATTCATTACTAGCTTTTTAAAGTACTGTGCACATGGACATTATTAGTGACTGTAAGTTCAACAATATGTTGATTATCATTATAGATCTTTATGTAATATTGTTCCATTCATAAGATGCCTGTTGTAAGTCCTAAGGTTTAACCTTACTAAATTGATGCTGCAATTTAGGCTTTCTCATACAACACTCCAAAGACTGTGATCATGACCCTATTTGTTGCAGAAGCTATTATCATTTGATGCACTATTATGTGTGTGTCTTCAATTCAACATACTTTTTTACACAAAAACTTAACAGGTAAAATGCTTCCGAATAGAAGCCAAAGCATAAGCACACAGTAGTGATTGCTTTTAAAAAAAACAATTTCAACACTTTAAATTGTACATCTGAAGAAGTGATCCAGCAGAGATGTCATATACCAGCTGTTATCATCTTTGCAATCCAGGCAGACTTTGAGGTTTCTTTTCTTTTTATCAGTGATATTGAATTGTTTTACGTTTGTAGGTACAGTGACAGGCTTTCAGCAACTACCTCTTTTAATACTTGAATAAATGAAGGGCCCACATGTCTCTGGATTTTGACTGGCACACAACTTAACCTCCCTAGCGGTCTGATTATGTCCATATTTCTGTGCTCAAAGCGGTACATTTTTTTGCATGGAAATATGTATTTTTTTTATTGTAGGCCTGTCATTTTTAGGAATAACTCACTGAAATCTGTCCAAACAAGAGTCTAGTAAACATCCCGGGTATGTTACAATTCAAAACACGAAATCATAAATTATAATTTAATAAATAATCATAAAAAATAATAATATAATAATAATAAAATTAATTCAATAATATAATCAAACCAAAAACACTGAAATTTGAAATATAGTGCCAAGTTCGCACATCACTGAGCAAAGTTGCAAAATCGTTTTCAGTGTTTGATGACGAATTTCCCCACGAATCATTATCACTCAATTCTGCAAGTGGTTCTAATTTACTATCGCTGTTCTCTAGCTGGTCTAAAACCACTTTTGTCCTAAAGGGATGCTTTTTGGACACCATGGACATTTCTCAGTTTCCAGGCAGAAAGAACAGTAAAAATGCAGGCAGGGGACAGGACAAAGCACTAGGGACAACATGTATGTGAAATGGTTTGATACAGTAATGTTTTACTATGTGATTTTAGTGAATGTCACTTTTTGTCATTTTAAAATTTCCCGCCGTTCCGTCCCCATACGTCCCGGCGCTCGCAGGGGATGGAACCCAGAAGACAGATGCCGGCATCCGCCGGAGGACATTACCGGGGACACTGCAGGAGGGACATTGCGGGAGCGCAGGACAAGGTAAGTGAATAACAGATCCCGGAGCAGCACCGCATGGTAAGCCCGAGTGTAGCTCAGGGTTACCGCTTGTGGTACTGAAACTTTACCCCGAGCTACACTCGGGAATACCGCCAGAGAGGCTACAACTTCAGAGTATTTTCATTTTTAAAGTGAGCTCCAGGCAAGAGCACACTTTGGTTCTTGGCATAGAACTAATGTGAATACTACACTATAATCTGAACACATAAACTCCAAAATTGGCCCTTAAAATGTATAGGGGGTGTGACTATGAGCATTGGCACTGCTTGATTCGCAAGCCGGTAGCTTTTAAATCAGCACCTGGCCACACCCAGTCCTCTCCACTGCTTTCTGGATTGACAGTACTGCCTCTATTAATGAAATGCTCCCACTGCAGGCTGCAGTGTCTGGCAGGAGGAGCATGTGAGACAGAAATGAAGGAGGATTTATCTCAGTCAGGAAGGCAGATGAGGTTTGTGTCTGCTTAACGTGGCTTATACATTACATAGTAACTGGATTTGGGATTTTGGGACTCATTTAGCCTGTCATACAGGAGTCTATAGGCTTTGAGGATCCCTCCTCTACTTTACAAAGCAGCAGGAGTAGCACTTATTTGCTGATAGCACTAACTTGCCAGGTAACAAGACCATTGATAGGAATCATTGGTTTTTATTGAGGGTAATTAAAGAGTAGGTTCACCTTTTGGAACATGTAACATGTTCCAGCAGCTTCAGCCTGTCCCCCTCCCCCCCCCCCCCCCCCAAGTGAACGGGGATCTTCTCTTGGCACCAGCTGTCACTATTTGAATATAACCTGTGATTGACTTGAACTACAAGCATCATCAGCCTTTGTGGCTAATGGCTTGTAATTCTGAATGGGCTGCAAAGTCGCTGATGATCTCATAGTTCATTCTTGCAACTTGTAAACAGTCAGCCCATATGAAGGTACGTGCGGAAAGCTGCAAGGGGTGCCTGCAGGAGACTGGCATTGCACCCTGATCACAAGTGCAATGCTTTTCAGGCTCCTTAGGGAAAAAAATAATAAATGCACAATTTGTTACCTGCAAAAATGGTGAATTTATCCTTTAAGTAACACATACACTAGCATGTCTTGCAGTTCCTGATGGCTTTAGTTTCTTTTTGCACCTCCCCTACTACCTATAAGCCCACTGTGTAGTTGATGCCAGTGGCTTAACTAGAACCTTCAGGGCCTGCAAGAAACCATAAAGGGCCCCCCTGCCCCTATTATTTTTTACAATTTTAGGAGCCCCGTTGGGGGGCTTTGGTGAAATATCAGGGGACTAAACAGACCTCTGATGTTCCACCTTTAAGACAGAGAAAGAAGATTTAGGACACAGCCCTCAGTCTCCTTCTCTGCATTCTCAGAATGAATGGACAGGAATAGCTCTGCACAGAGCTTCCTATCCATTCATAAATGGATGCATAGGAAACACAGTTTATTATGTTTCAGTTATAAATGGACAGAGTCAGTAATTGGTTTGGATCACTGACTGTCCATTCAGAAAAGGAAGGGGATGGTAAATTTACCTCAGCATTCATGGAACTGCCAATAATCCATTGTGAGAGAAAGTGAGATTACTATGTTTGGTGCTGCTTCTTGTTTTTACAGCATTCAGACCGTGAACTGTCTGACATAAGAAGCTTATATAGATTTTTAGTTATAGAGTGCCAATCCCATTGTGAAGTTATAAATACACCATAAACACATTTCCATATGCCTTAATATTAACTGTTTCTTACTTTCGGTTTGTTGCAAACTATGGCACTTTAGATGCTTATTATATTAGGTTCAGCTTCTACTGTGTTTTTCTTTTAAACCTAACATTTTCCTTTTTTCCAGTGTCCCTTGCTTTTGTCAGACTCCTATTGCTTGCGTTAATTAGCTCATTTCATGATGTTCAAATCAGGAGGGTTGATAATTCTCACATTATTTATTCATATGAATATCTGTATGTAGATCTGTCTAATTCATGGGGAATCATGCAATTAAGGAATCTAGGAAATCATGTTCCATGAATTGTATTAGTCTCTACAGACTGAATTAATTCACATACATGCATCCACATGTCAGCCAACCAAAATATTTGCAACTAGCCTTTTTATCAGGTGTGCCAATTGCTTTTTTCATTACTAGTCCCAGCTGCTTAAAGTAGAAGTAGTGATAGGTACTGCTCAAAGTGGACTTAAAGCTTGTGTGTGCGTGCGTGTGTGTGTATATATATATATATATATATATATATATATATATATATATATATATTGAATATGGCCAAAATTGTAGTATTTCAAATATATGTCAATATATTTGGGAAGCATATTTAAAAAATATATTTAAAATATAGTTTTCTTCCATGTGGGAAGGCTACAGAGGGTCTGTCCTTATCCCAAATACATCAGCTGGAAGTAAAAAAAAAAAAAAAAACACTACTGCTACATCCTCTCTCTTTTAAAAAAAATAAAACAATAATAGGAATCTGTGCTTTACCAACAATGCCACCCTCCAGACCCTGCTCCTCCTTCTCTGACATACCTTACCCAAGAAGGGCTTAATCATTAAGTTTAATCTATGACTGAACCCCTCCTGGGTTGAAATGTGTTGAAGAAGAAGGATCAGGGTCTGGGGGATGGTGTTGCTGGTAATGTATGGTTCCCTGTAGAATAAAGATTATTGAAAAAGAAAAGAGAGGAGTAGAACCATTTCCAGGATATGAACATTCAAATATTGACATATTCTTAACAAGCAGTAAATAACGTTTTAAAGTTTATTTACAGCTTGTTAAGAATATATAATTATTTGAATGTCCAATGTTCACAGTTCTCCTTTCAAGTGGAAATAAGCCTGTTTGTGTGTACAGCGTACTTGCACATTATAAAAGAGAATGAAAAGAGAAGTGCCTCTAAGTGTAGGCATTCATTAAAATTTATTAATACATTTTATTGAATGTCTACACTTAGAGGCGCCTCTCTTTTCCTTTTCTTTTATGTGCTTTGGAAGTCATTTCTGCTTCTAAAAGAGGCTGCCCTTAGTGGATGGACAAACGTTTACTGTTATTTTTTGGATGTACTTTATCTACATCACTGGGACTAATATAATGTACTAGTTATTCTGAAAGTGAATATTCTTCTTTGAGCCTTTTCTCTGTTTTCTACTTGCACATTACGGCAGACTTACCTCCCACATTGCCCACCTCCAGCACTGACAGGTCCACACTCTTTGACAGCGTTACATTGCCACCACCTTCTCCAGCACTTTTTTCTTTCTGGTATCTTTTTTTCCTTTGGCCATTCTAAGTCATTCAACTCCTGTACATGTATGCTGGATTTACACTCTTCTGGCACCCATAATCATTCTGTAGAATGCCAGTAATGTACATTGCACTGCAAGCATAGACCAAAAATTGCTAATAAGCAAATAAATGATTTATAGAAGAGACATACAAAGCCTCTTCTATGAAATAAACTACCTGTTTGCATTTTTTTCAACCTATATGCTTTTCCAAAGCAGTATTAAACCCCAAACTAAAAAGGTGAAGGCTGTGTTAGTTTTGTTTTTTGGGGCTTTTTTACTCTGTTTTCACCTGGTGATCTGGCCAGTAACACACTCCAGGCAAATGTTTCAAATGTTGACTCCTCAGTCCAGAGCACGTGCTGCCATTTTTCTGCACCCTGGTCCTTATATTTTCATACATAGTTGAGTTGCTTGCATTAAAACATATAGTAACTGGGGTACAGAAAAATGGCAGCAGGTGCTCTGGACTGATGAGTCAAAATGTGGAATATTTGGCTGTAGCAAAAGGCAGTTTGTTCACAAGGGGCTGAAGAGCGGTGCAATAATGAGTGTCTGCAGGCAACAGTGAAGCATGGTGGAGGTCTTGCAAGTTTGGGGCTACATTTCTGCAAATGGAGTTGGATATTTGATCAGGAACAATGGTGTCCTCAATGCTGAGAGATACAGGCAGATACTTCTCCATCATGCCATGGCATCTGGGAAGCTTGTGATTGGCCCCAAATGTATTTTTCCGCAGGACAACAACCCAAAACATACAGCCAATGTCATTGAAAACTATCTTCAGTGTAAAGAAGAACAAGGGGTCCTGGAAGTGATGTTTTGGCCCCCACAGAGCCCTCTCAACATTGAGTCTGTCTGGGACTTATATGAAGAGACAGAATAAGTTGTGGCAGCCTACATCCACAGAAGATCTGTGGTTAGTTCTCCAAAAAATGTTCGACACAACCTACCTGCTGTGTTCTTTCATAAACTGTGTGCATGTGTACCTAGAAGAAAAAAGGACACAAATTTCATTTATGTATAGCGTTGCATGACCGCGCAATTGTCAGTTACAGTAACGCGGCGCCGTTTCGCAAAAAATGGCCTGGTCAGGTAAATCATTTGGAGGGAAAGTGGTTAAACATTGGTTAAATTTTTTGCTGAAAATATAAACATTGGCAGGTGATAAACCAGTATACAGGTATGTACCCAACACTGAAATATTAGTTTTGAGTGGACTGATGCCTAAATATCACATTATTAGTAATATGAGAAACTGTTGAAAATAAATGTGTGGCTTCCCCTTTTGTTACCATCTATTGTATGGGAATTAATGGAAGCAAAAGATGTGCTGCAGGATTAATGTTTAATATGTTCATAAATACAATTAAACAGTGCACATATAAATCAAATAAATAGTTTTTTGGAGAACATCCCAGATATAAAATATTAAATAGTTGCATATTTTCCTAATATAAAATATTAAATAGTTGCATATTTTCCTGGTCATGTGATCAGTTTAATCAGAAAAATGTGCCAAAGCAAAACTATTGCCAATTTAAAGATACACGCTAGCCGAGTCTCTTATCTCCTTGACCTGGCAGACAAGGCTGTATTCATACATCATGGTGCCTTAGTCACAGCTGACCAGGGGCGGACTGACCAATTGGAAACTCGGGCACTGCCCGAGGGCCCAGGGTCAGTAGGGGGCCCCATGAGATGCCCCTGGTACCTTTTTCATAGACTTTTTTGAGTTTGGGCAAGAAGACAGGGGCCCCATGATCCCCTATTGAGGGCCTGGGGTCAGTAGAGAGCCCCATGAGATGCCCCTGGTACCT